CATTCCAAACATAGGTGAATAACATATTCAAATCACATATCGCCATTATATTAAACGATGTAATATTGTGCCGATTCCAATACATTCCTTGAACTTCAGGCTTCACTTTAACACGTACATGAACTCCATCCATTGCTCCAACAAAACCACTAAAATAAGGCCAATATCTCTCATCCATTACTAGTCGTTCTGGAACTTGCCTTAGTTCTTGTGTTGTGGGAGTCTTGATATAGTCACAAGCAAGCAGTTCCGTCGCTCGAAGAACTTCAAAAAATTTACGATTCACTGTCTCTTGCGTTCGTCCAAATTGTAATCCAACATTTCTCTGAACTTCGTTATGCCCACATATTGTTAGAAACATGGCAACACTCTCTTCAATGCTTACATTTAATGTTGGTTGTAGACCATATGTTGTTTGCAATTTCTCACACAATGTGCGAAAAACGCCAAGGGACATTCGTAAAAGCTGGAGACAAGCAGCACTATCTTCTTGCAATCGATCCCAAATATTTGTCCATCCCAAGCCACCATTAGTCCGAGTTGGTCCTCTTTCAAAAAATCGATTGTAATAACTTAATGATGGCTGAATGATCAACTCTTCAAACTGCTCATTTTCCAAATTCCACAACTCAACTCGCTCTTCATAACTTAGATTTTGAACACCATGTGCTCGCAACTGACATATACGAAATGCCTGAAATTTTATAAATATGAGATAAGAGTTAAATAAAATTATTAAGAACTCAGTAAATACTAAATCAAAATTTAAAGCACAATTTATAAATAAAATTATAATGAGAAATATTTAATTATTTTTAATTAATTGAAATGTCGAAAACACAAAGTGAAACATAACATAATCATTAATAACAAACAACAAACAACAAACACCACGAAACTAATCTTCATCCTCAGACTCGCTTTGATGACTTTCATTTAAATTTGGTCCTTGTTTCTTTCCCCAAATGTTGAATAATCCTCCCCTTCTGCGTGATCTTGGAATTTGCGCTTCTGAAGAATAATTTGTGAAACCAAATTCCGGTGATACTCTCATGTGAAGGTTGGCTGAGGTGCGACCTTCTGCTTCTACTAAACCTCTTTGTTGATTATTCGTATTTGTTTCTGCTTCTGGTCCCACTGAAAATCCACGTTGAACATTTGGTGGTGTACCCCACTGTGGAATATTTGGTGATGAACCCGCCCATTGTGGAACATTTGATGATGAACACCATTGGTGAGCATTGGAAGGTGTACTCCATTGTGCAACATTTGATGATGAACCCCATTGCTGAGCATTTGGAGGTGTACCCCATTGTGGAACATTTGATGATGAGCCCCATTGTTGAGCATATGGAGGTGTACCCCATTGTGAAACATTTGATGATGAGCCCCATTGCTGAGCATTTGGAGGTGTACCCCATTGTGGAACATTTGATGATGAGCCCCGTTGCGGAGCATTTGGAGGTGTTCCCCATTGCGGAGCATTTGGAGGTGTACCCCATTGCTGAGAAATGTTTTCCCATGGTCCACCTGAAGTTTGACCCCATGAATTATTACCACCGGAAGATGGACTACCAGAAAAACAACCACTTAAATTTTGACCTCCGGAATTCTGACCCGAGACTAACCGCTTTCCAACAAACTCGTTGTCTCGTGTATATCCAGTGAGAGCTTGCAAAAACTGTAGTTTATCTTCAATACTGTTGTCAGCTCTATCAATAAAATACTTTCGCCAAAATCTGTCGTCTCTGAATGCTTGAATGCATGCCCAGTAAAAGTTAGTATTCTTTGGAACTTCCATCGATTCAAATATCTTCACGGCCCTTTCGCATTCATCATAATTATCTTGATCGAAAAAATCTGGACGCAGTTGTTGTAAACTTTGGCGTTGAAATTCTCGAAAACCATCCATCGTATCTGTTAGAGTTGTCTGCAATGATTGTTTTTTACGACTTCCTCGTGAGCTGGTCCTTGCAGCGGCTCGTGAACTTCCAACAACTCTATCTATAGCACTTTCAC